CAGCCAGGGGCCAGCCGGGCTGGGGAGAGGATGGGTGACTGCTCCCTGCTGTGTGCCCGTGACTCTCAGCAGGAGCCCCAGGGCCAGGATGTGGCATAGGCTTCAGGGCCAGTGGTAAGTGCCCTGGGCCTGCAGGACTGCTGGAGGTGGGTACGGCTTCTCGTGCATGCCATGTGTGTGCAGTCAGGGTTGTGCTGGGGTGGCTGCATGCGAGCTGGCACAGCCTGCCTGCCCAGGAGACTGAGCCAGGGCAGGGACAGCTGCTGATGACCCTTCTGAGCTGCCTTGACCACACACACTATCCCCCCAGCTGGGTACAGCTGCAGTCCTCGTCCCCCTTACTAAGTATGGCGCCCAGAAACCATCCATCCTTGGGAACATGTACCCCACCACACTTAGGCTGGTTCCTAGCCTCTGTCCAGCACAGGGTGGTCCTACCTTGGGCCAAATCTGGGACTCGGGGTTGGCACATGTCCCCAGCACAGGCAGTGCTGTCCCTGTCTCCAGGCCCAGTGCTGACTGGCACACACTGTCCCCAGCGTGGGGCCTCCGTGAGCTGCAGACATGTCACAGGGAGTTCCAAGAAGAGCAACCGCACAGACCCTCCACCCCCAGCCCAGGCAGAGCAGGCAGGCAAGGGGGGCTTCCTGGGCAGGGAAGGGACCCGGGTGGGGTGTGTAAAACCCTGAGCTGCCTTGCAGTTAGGTCCCTGCAATCTGCCTGCCCTGTAATCGGCCCAGCCACAGCCAGGCCCCAGGGGCCTCTCCCAGCCACATGGGGTATGTGTGTGTTTAGCACCATCCCCCCATCTGCTGGGGCTCTGCGGGGGCTGAGGGCTAGGGGGAGCATGCCCTGTGGTGTAGAAGGGAGGTGAAGTGACCCGAGCACAAACACCGGGGGGTGAAAATGTTACCCCAGATTTCCCCTCGGCAGTGTAGGGGGGGCATGGCCCTGTGCAGATGTGTGATGTGTGGATGATGTGGGTGGTCGTGTGTGTGTCCAGCCCCACCCAGGGCCCAGTGCCCTGTCCTACCTTCCCAGCCCCCCTCACCCTGGAGGGATAGCAATTTCACAGAATTTAGCACAGGAGATCAGGACAGACAGAGCAACCATGGAGCACAGCACACACCCCGGCCTCAGGCAGAGCCCTGCCCCCCCACCCCCCGTACTCCCAGGCAGGGACTCCTACTTAGCTCTGTGTGCACACATGTGCGTGCACACACACAGATGAGGGGCACGCCCACCCACGTTCGGGAACACAGGCCACTAAACCACAGGGCGGCAGTCACCAAAGGCCTGGGCTTCCAGATTCTAAAATACCCAGCCCTCTCCGCCCCAGAAGCCACAGGCAGCCTGGCAGCTGAGCACGGGCCAGCCAGGGCATGGCCCAGCAGACAGCCGGGTGCCGAGCCACAGGGACCATCCCACTGTGAACTCCGGGGGTGGGCTGTGGCCCCCAGGGTAGCTCCCCTCCTGACCCCAGCCAGAGACAAGCCAGGGAGGCACTTTCTGGATCCAGGCACTTTTAATTGTGAAGTCAAGACGGAGCCTGGTGAGTGAGAAGCAGTTAGGGCTTGGGGTCTGAAGGTGTCATCACACGCGTGCCCAGGCTGGGGGTGAGGAGCCTCAAGGTCGCGGTGGGGCAGGGCTCGAGGTCGGCATCTACACCGTGGGGTCCAGCCCCTCAGTCATAGTCCGCGTCGTCGAACTTGGTGCTGAAGAAAGCTGCAGAGTCCTTGGCCAGCCGGGACAGGTGCAGGGCGCCGGTCACCACCAGGCCCAGGAGCAACAGCGGGGGCACCAACGTCCACATGGCAGCCAGAATGTTGTAACACTTGGCTCTGGAGCCCAAACGCCGGGCCGCCTCCAGGTCCCCGGCCACCTTCTGGTCTCGGGCCTGCAGAAGGGCACAGGGCCAGGTGTCTACACGTCCTCTGGGCCTGGGGGCCCTGCCTCCCCTGCTGGGGCACTGGAATCTGGATGGAGGGGATGCAGCCTGAGGGGACACTGCTGGGCTTGCCCACGCCTTCATGGCCCCTGACTTGAAACAGCTCAGCTCTGGATGGTACCTGGAGCCATGAGGGAGTTAAAGGGGGGCTGGAGAGGCCCGGGGCTGGTATAGCCACAGGTCCCCTGGAGTGCTGGGAGCGCCCCCACATCCAGGTGCAGAAACCAAAGGGGGTCCTGATCAAGGATCCTAGGGCATATGGGAATCCCCTGGACCCATGAAAGAGACTCCTGTGGGACCAGCAGTTAGCGTAATGGCTATGTCACTGGACTCCCATGTAGTCGACCGTGGTTCACGTCCCAGACCCGGTGGCTTAAACTCACGCCGGGTGTGTCTGCTTGTGTGCCCAAGATCCCGAGAGGAGAATGGAAAAGAAGGGGTTGCGGAGTGGCCATCCCCCCTGTAGGGGGTGGTTTCTTGCTTTCTGTCTCTCTGTCCAAAAACCTCTCAAAAAAAAAAAAAAAAGAGACCCCTGTGGGGAGCCCCATGGACCCTGCTCTTCTGTGTAGACTAGACCCCCTAAGAACACACCTTCCTTCATAAGCATGCAACATCCCAAGCTAATGGGGCAGCCCTGTTGGCCGTACCTTGCTGAGGGTCCCCATCATGCCATGCTGATGGAGTGCTTCCTGCCTGCCCGCCTACTGGGGGAGCAACCCCTGAAGCCCCTACACCCCCGACCCCACCCCCACCCCATTCGGGAGGACCCCAGTCCCACCTTGATGGAGTAGGCCAGCGCCAGGAAGCCGAGGCAGCAGAGGTTAAGGTAGAGTGTGCTGAAGACGGACCAGATAAAGTGGTCTCGAGGTGGAGGTCCAGGTGCCCCCAGCGTAAGGGCCGTGTGGGCGGCGCCGTCAGCCTTGCGGGGCGTCGGGGCCCGGGGGTCCTCGCGGGGATACGACGTGTCCATGGGTTCCAGCGCCGTCTCTTCCTCACTCAGACTCCCCCATCCAAGGCTGCTGTTGGCAGCGGCCCCGCGGGGCTCCTCTCAGGCCCAGCCATCCCGCCCCAGGGCGCGCCCCACCCCATTCCCATGGTCGGCTGCTGGTGGGCGGGGTCGGGGACCAACCACTAGCGCCTGCTCCCGGGAGGCAAAAGGAGCCGGAGGTGCCGCTCTGAGCAGCGGGTGGACGACAGACCCGGGTGCTTGGGCTAGGCGTTTCCTTCTCAGGACCAGAGCTGCTGAAATCTCAGGCCCTCTGTCCCAGAGCCAGACGCTGGTCATGCGTCCTGTGGCCAGTGCCGGGCGTGGGAACGCAGAAGAGTCTGCTGGCGTGCTGGCAGGAGACCCACAGTGAACAAGGTGGAAAGGGGCAGATGCACGTCGGCGGGGGGCTAGGAGAAGCCCAGGGGGAGGAGAAGGCGGCGTGTTCGCGGCCAGCCAGGGTCAGCAGGGGAGGCCCGCGCTGGCTGCTGCCAGTGATTTCTGATGCTCCACCTAAGGCCTGCCGTCCGGCTGGGACCGAGTTAGGTTGCTTCCTGCCTTCCT